TAACAGCCTTTTGGAAATACTAAGGTCAAAATTATATTTCTTTTGGAACTCCCGATTTTACTTCATGTGAAGGTAGATCTGTTCCGGATTTTCAAGACTTAGAAGGTAGTAAAAAATACCGTCAATTTACTTTTTTTTTGGGCTGGTGGATGAGGGGTGCTATGAATTTACTTCTTTATCCAAAGCTGCTAAATTGGACATAAAAATATATAAGAATAACTCTTCTTTTCTTTCAGATCAATCTGCACTGTGAACTTTGTCACATGCTTCATTTAGTCTTTAGCTGAATCCTGAAACACGGATTTGATAAGGTTTGGGATAGATACTGGATGCTGTGACAATTTCACACTGGTGGTATTACAGCTGATATAGCTAGGTCACTGCCCTCCTTTGACCTTCCGTAACATATCCGCCCCTGATTGCTAGTTCTTGAGTAAAGACCAACAACAAAGTATAGGTGAGATGCATGCAAGAACAAAAGGGGGAAAAAGTGAAGTTCGCATGTAGCTAGGATTATTGACTTCAGAATATTGAAACTTGTTAAACTGGTAACTGATCAGTGGGCACAAACAGAAAAAAGAATAGCAATAAAGCCCTGAAGAACAAGTCAAGTATTTGCATATGAACAAGTGCATAATAGAAGGTTAAATTTTTCTTCCTCTATTTGCCTTCCTCCTCCTAGTGGAAGCAAAAGTTTATATGAGTTCTCTTTCTCCTCCTATTGGGTAGCTCTTTTTGGTGATTATTTTGTTTGGGAGCGCTCATGTTTTCAGTTTTTACAGCTCATAAAGAACAGATATCTGCATTAACCTTCCTGGTCAACTCAAGATTGGTCATTACTGCCTCATTCCTTTGGTTTTAACAAAGAAGGAAGAGAAAGGAGGGGGGGGGGGGAATTTACTGTCTCTACAGAGAATCTTTTGTTTCCCATCCCATTGAAAGAATATGACCTTTGGCTTAATCTTACTTACTTTGTTTCTCAGGGATGATTTCCTGTCGAAGGGATTTAAACTGGTCCTTTAAGACTCCAGCTATGGATGTTTATGGAGCCAAAAATAAAAGTAAGTTCTTCAGCAATTTTATGGGAGATTATAGCATCTGTATGAGCCGTACTTTTTGATCTTTACTAAAGGAGTTGATTAATAGTTTTTCTCTAACAACAACACTGTAGCAAAGACTAATTCTATATCGTTTATTGTGGTGAGTTACTATCTGATGAACCTTGTAACTTTGTGACAATAGTATTGTTACTGACAAAACTTATAATGCTCTCTCAGAAGAATATGTTCTATAATGGCACAAAATCTAGCAGACAGTTTAAGGACAGAGAAAGAGACAGGTAATAACTCAGTCAGAATTTTGAACCAGTTTTGTTCTTGTTTGTGTTATTTTAATGAAGTGCATCTGCACATTCCTGACGGTCTTTAAATATCTGTCTCTGAAATATGTAGAATTATGTAGCAGGAGTGCGAATAGTTTCTCATGGAAGCTGCTAAAATGGATTTTCTGATGCTTACGATCCTCAATTCATTTGTTGATGTCTCTAGTCTGAACATGCTTCTTTCTCCTTTCTGCCTTTTCAATTTAGAGCTGAACTTTCTGTCCCTTTGAGGATTATCCTTCGGTTATGCTGTATTGAATTTCATGATCTTATGCTTTGGGAAGGAGTGTCAGCTGAGGTGAGCATCGTCTCTGTTTCATACCTCTTTGACTTATTAATGATAGGAATGGACAGTTTTTTGAAACTATACCCATGAGGGATTGGCATGCACTCAGAATTCAGAGCAAGCAAAGGCTGAAAGATAAAATAAACAAGAATAGAGTTTATTAGATGCACGAATAGAGTTTATTAGATGCACGAACTTAAGTTGTGATGTTCCACCGTATTGCCCTTGCTAGAATCTTCATGATCAGTCAACGTCCCAGCATTAGTTTATGGATGATGTGCCTTGGTTGTGGCGAGCTGTTCTTGGCATTGGATTCACAATCATAGTGGATATGGGTATAGCTTTTGGTCATGTCATTCGTGACTACAAGATGCTTAGATGCCATCTTTTAGGATTTTACTTGTAGATCTATGTTTAAAAGACTGTTTTTTTTAAGAAGGGAAGGTTGTGCAGCTGAATAAAACTGTGATGGTATGCATTCTCACCTGGAAATTACACGGTTCTTGAGGGCCTTTTACTTTTGTTACTTTCTTGCTGGGATATTGTTGGAGTTGATTATGGGTGTTGCACAATTCCAGGTTTGCTTGATTTCTTGAGCTTGTTTGTTATGTTGGTGGGTTGGATTGTTTCTGGGTGTTGATGCGAAGGATGTGTTGAGTTGCTGGAGCTGGAAGCCAAAAATTAGAGAGGGATGCTTTCTGAATCCATGAGCAGTATTTTATTGAATGATCAAAGCATGAGCTGATGATTGTATGATGCTAGATTTAGTGGTGTTCTGGTTAGAGCTGTTGTGGCCGTGAAACCACTTTCCATCATTTTCGTTGTAGTTGCTGTTGGGGTTTGCTCATCAACATTATCTTGAACTCGAGAGTAGTTCCTGTAATTAGACTTTTTCTTTCTGACCTTAATGTTCTCCATGTCTGTGGACTGTGGGGGGGGGGGGGGGTTTTAAAAAAAAAAAATTTTTTGATGTACTTTTCATATGGTGAAGTTAAAAACTTTAGTTGTATTTTAAATTTGTTTGATGAATTTCTCTTTTTTCTCCATTTTTACCAACATGGATCCTACAAATTTCAACTCTCCTAAAAATTTAACTCATTTCCAATGTATAGTTAATTAAACTTCAAATGCAAAGTTAATGATATACACTCCAACGTCAATAGATATTCTTCCTGCTTAAATAGATATGCTCTCCAATCCATAGTTGTTGAATTTTAGATAAACACATGTTACAGTAATTAATTATATTTCAAGTAATTTCTTATCCGAAAACGCTCAAGTTCAAGTATATTCCGGTGCATGAGTGTATTATTTATTTATTTATTGAATAGTACACTTTTCATGATCCAATGCACTAGTTTAAATCTACTAGTTATTGGATATATAGACGGCACAAGAATAGGCAAATAAGAAAAAGTGAGAAGAGGAAAATAAATACATGGAATTTTTAATATATAAAAGAAATATTATTTGCACTCCCATTTTTTTTTAATAACATTTTCACTATTATTTTTATCACGTGATTTTTATTTACTAAACTATATAATACAACAAGTGGTGAGAGTGCAATTAACCAAAAAATGGTGTGTAAAGAAAATTTTCTTATATAAATAGATCCAAAAACAAATATCTATGAGCTGATTGAAAATTTTAAAAAAGCCCAAACAAGTCCTCTTGTGCGTACGTGAAATTCGTGCGCTCAATCCTATTTGGGCCCAAACAATACTATTTAGTACAGGATGATTCGATTTCGACCCAAACAAGATTCTGACACAAGTCAGATTGGTCCCACTTGCATTATTATGAGTTTTTCAAAAAAAGTTCTTTTTTTTTTTTATTAATACGATGAATTCTATACCATGGCTGCTTCTACTTTAGAGGGAGGATGATTTAAAGAAAATCTAGGGGAGATCTAAATAAGTCAGGGGAATTCGGTGAATCATCACAATATTCTTTTCTTTTTTTTTTTTTTATTTTGTAACAAAAGCTCCCAAAAACTCTAATCCAAACTCGGCTGGCTTATAAGATGCTCTACAAGTCGGCAGCGCGCATGTTAAAAGTTAAAACCATCGCTCGCTGATTCAATTTCCATATGTACATGTGTATTAGTTTGATATGTCAATATCTTATATATTTGTGCGTGTTTATATATATATATATATATTCCCTCCGTCCCATTTTAATAGTCCTGTTTTCCTTTTTCGTCTATCATAAATTATAGTTCATTTTCTAATTGAAAAATGTAGTTGTATTTTAATTTTTCTAAAATAATTTTATTCAATATAAGTTGTTGTTACTATAAACTTATTCCATTTAATAAGAGTTGATTCTTATTTTACCATCAATTCAAGTTTCCATAAAATTGTACTCTAATTAATGTGAGAGTATTTTAAGAAAATAGCTACCTAAATTGATTGTTCCAATAAAATTAATTACTTTTTATTATACTGTGTGAAAAAAATCTGGACTATCAAAGTCAGACGGAAGGAGTATATATTAACCCAACAATGGCCTTATAGTCGTCAGTCCCATAAGTTCTTCTAATACGAGAGGAAAAAAAGCTGTTGGATAACATCATATTTTTGTTTTTATTAGGCATAAAAAAAATAAATAAAATAGGATTTAGAAATAATTATCCAAATTCACATCAATCCCCAGAACCTTAAGCGTTAAACCACCCTACAAGAAAACTCATCAATATCCAATGTCCCACAATAGATATATATATATATATATATCATAATTGTCAAAATCGCGATCCGGATCGTAGGATCGTACGATCCTACGATCCGGATAACCAAAATCGATCCGGATCGTATGCAGAGTCGCAAATCATATTAATTTTTTGCAGGATCCCATAGAATCGTAGCAGGATCGTGCAGGATCGTGTAGGATCGTAGGATCCTACAATTTTTTTGTAAATTTGTGAAATACGAAGCTCCATTTTGCAAATAAATGAAAATATTTGTGATATATTTGTAATTTATCAAAGAATTGCAACCTTTAATTGCAATTAATAACTTTTGGTAGGATCTTACGATTCTACGATCCAATCCTACGATCCGATCCTGTGAAACTAAAATCGATCCTACGTAGGATCCCGATTTTACAAACCTTGATATATACGTAGACGTAGATAGCCAACATCGGAATGGGGATCAGTATAAAAAAGGAAAACAGGGTCAGACAGGCTGAGAGTAATAAATCATTAAATAAAAAACGACACCTACGAGCAAGTAAGCAAAACGAGGCGCGTGTGATAGCGATATGTATAACGTGGAAGATAGAGAAGAGAGTGAGACCGTCGTAATCGTAATGCGTTGCGGCAAAGCAGCAATCAGTCCTCTTTAGTCATTTCAACTAATTCCTAGGTCTTCTAATTCCTCTTTTCTCACTGTTCAGTGGTTGCGGCTGCGCTAGTCCTCTCTCTCTCTCTCCCTGGCTATGGGTGAGGTCTGCTCAGTCCCTTCTCATGATCGTCAATCGTTATCACCTTCCTCTTCTTTCCTACACTCTCACACATTAGTCCCTACTCCACCACCCCGCCTCCTTGCAGCTTAGCTTTTCGTCCCATGGCCTTTCTCCTTCAGATTTATTGAATTCCGATTCGGTGGGTTTCGGTCCATCCCCTTTTTTCCCTTTCTTTTCTTTTTGTTTTGGCTAAAACCTCTCACCTCCTTTCCCAAATGTCCTCTCGTCTCGAAACCATCCACAATTGGACCGTCTCCACCACCACCGCCGCCAATTCCATCAAGCGCAAGCTCGACGACTTTCACAGCGACTCTGATGATTCCGACGACGACGACTTGTTCTCCCTAGGAAACTCCTTCTTCCCCGCCTTGGCCAGGATGCGAAAAGACCATCTTGCCCCTTCCTTCACCTGCCCCCGTCCTCTTCTTCCCTCCCAACCCTCCCGATCATCTTCACCCTCGTCCTCGGAATCATCAGCTGCCGCCGTTGCCTCCTCCGATGAAGACGACTCCAGCGGCGGCGGCAGCAGCGCCTCCTCCTCCTCCTCCTCCTTCTTCGCTCCTGGACTCCAGTTCTTTGTACGGATGCTCTCCGGCGGTAAGACGCTCGTCATCCACGCCGATCCTTCCGACTCCGTCAAGTCAGTTCACGAGAAAATTCAGTCGGTCACCAGAATTCCTATCGAGGAGCAGAGGCTAATTTACCGGGGGAAGCAGCTCCAGTGGGAGCAGTCGCTGTCGGAATGTGACGTCCAAAACGACACCGGCTTGCAACTAGTCAGCCGCATGCGCAGCACTAGGCATCCCAATGCTTGGCACTGCGTCGACGATATGTTATCCAAAATCTTACATCTTTACAAGGGCGACCGGACCCGACCCGTGGGGCCTACCGTGAAATCGCGCCTTGCCGAATTCCTCAACGACATTCCCCAGAAAGATGAAGACGTAGAATCATCCATCTCTTACCTCCAGATATTCCTTTCGTCTTCTGTGCCTGCCGCCCTGGTAATGCTTTACTTGTCACCTGTAAAGAGTAATAGAGATTGTGCTGATGATTGCATTAAGCATTTCATCCAGAATTGCAAGACCTTTTGCAAGGGACAGGTTTACGGGCATTTGGCTCACTTAGTTTTAGAGTTCTGTAAGTTATTGGGTAGGGGAGCTGGGATTGAGGACCCTTTGTACAATACTTGTCGTAGTTGCTTAGGTTCGATGGTAGAATATGTTGGCTTTGGGGGCAGGGAGACTAAAATGTCCAAGGATGGAGGTATTGCTGTCATAGAGATTTTTCCATTTCTTCGTGAGTTGGCGGGTAGGTTGTCACAGGGCTTAGCATCGAGTTTAGAGTCAAGCACAGGTGGTGGACCAGCAGTAGGTGATGTGCTCGATTTTGTTGCCTTTTCATTTCCGATAAGGAATACAATTGCATTTCACTTGGGCATTAATAGGCGCCGTGCAGCTGCTGGTGGTGGTGGTATTGCTGGGCAGTGTAACGTTCCATATTATGCTGATGAGATAAAATCTCTGCGTGTAATTTTTGATGATTTGTTGGGGAAGATGGACCTATGCTTAAAGAAATTGGAGGAGCATTTGGCAGCTGCTGAGAAAGGGAAGGGAGAGCATCTTTTACCTGGTTGGTGCCAGTATCTTACTATTTTGAAAGAACTGGGTAGCATATCAAAATTGTACAAGGGTGCTGAGGAGATATTTTGGACGCATATGGGGCAAAGAAAGGTGGCGTTATGTTATCTGGTTCTCAAATTTGCAAAGAGGAGTGATGATAATGATTGGATTACTGACCATAAGGAAGTGACTAACTTTGAGGTGAGGAGGCATTTAGCAATGATGTTACTGCCTGAGGTAAAGGATGATTATGAGGAGCTGCATGAGATGCTTATTGATAGGTCGCAGTTATTATCAGAGTCATTTGAATACATTGCCAATGCAGCCTCTGACTCATTGCGTGCTGGCTTATTTATGGAGTTCAAGAATGAGGAAGCTACTGGACCTGGAGTGTTGCGGGAGTGGTTTTTCTTGGTTTGTCAAGAAATCTTCAATCCTCAAAATGCTCTCTTTAAGGCTTGTCCAAAGGATCGCAGAAGGTTCTTTCCAAATCCAGGTAAGCTTTTATTGCATCTTGAGCATTCTTAGTAAGTTTGATAGTTCCTTGTGCTGAAGTCTGACATGTTTGTGATAAATTGAAATGACATCTGGTTGTTGGTTGACATCACTTTTAACATTTTGGATGACTGGTTATTTATTGTAAACTGGTACAATTAACCATCTCTTGTTGAGATAGCCTAATCTTTATTGCATCCATAGTGCATGTTTTGCTGATGTCTGTTTTCATGTCAACTCCTTTTTTCGTCAAACTTTGGTTATCTGTTTGAGGTGCTGCAATATGTGGTTGAGTCCAACAACTGTTCAAATGTGGCACCATTTGGTGTTTCATTTAGCTCCTGGGTACTTGATGCCAAACCGCTAAAAATGTTGTCCCTTAAAAAAAATCCTAAAATATTGCTCACTAAATTTATAGCAGTTTATTATTCTGAGTGCTTCCATTTGGATTACACCACACTTGCTTCCCAATCCCCCCCCACGTTCCCACCCAAAAAAGAAAAAAAAACTGTCTTCATCTGATGCCTTTATTTGTGGATATCATAAATTTGAGTAAATTGAGGGATTCTTATGTCGTCTTACACTTCTCATCCCATGTTACACTTTGATGCTAATACTTTCACTATGGTGGAAGACTGTTATTGCTGCTTTATGGAAAAGGTGCCTTCTCATTTTTGTCCTTCCCTTAAAGTTGCCGTACTGAATGTTGATGCTTCCGTTTTGCCTTTTCTCTTGTTTTTGCTTCCCACCTGACCCAGGTATTAGGGATAGACCTTATTGGGTTTTACGTGAAATTTAGTTGAGTTGAGCAAGTCCTTTCTGTTTATCACCTTTCAGAAGGTAAAAGGCTTTGATGAGATGGCTGAAAGAATCAAAATGATCTAAATCGTACTTGTTCTGCAATAGCAGTGGTAACTGTTAACGTATAGATGATATAGAATCCTCCAAATGGATTGAGTGCTTTCAAGCTGCTGCTTTGAGATTGATTTCAATATATATTATCTGCTTAACAATGACTGGAAAAGTATAGCTCAACAACTTCCTGTTTCGTATCTTCTCTTCTCCCTTTCCGTCATGACTTTCTCAGTTACTTTCTTCTCATCTTATTATGGTAAGGGTTTATAAGCTTGAGCAGAACCTTCATGTGAGGGTAAAGACCTGATGAGACAAACTCTTGAAGTTAAGAGACCCATGATTAGTGCTAAGCAATTTAACCTATTATTAGAGAGCTTAGAGCATTTAACCAAGCAATGCTTGCTAAGCAAACATTGAGTAATTCAGATCCCTCCTTCATTCTATCCTCAAGGCCAAGTATTGCCGTGAAATCTTGCCTTTTTGAACCTAATGCTGGCAGTAGACAATTTTCTAACAAAGTGAAGCATTTTAGCAGCTTGGGATTTAATGGTTTGCACTTTTGAGATGTATGGTTTTGGCAACCCTGAGGCTGTGCTCATTATGGGGAGAGATGGATTGACACATTGTGGATCCATGCACTATAGCCTTTTGATATTCACCAGTTATTATTAAGCATGTTCACCAAGAGAACTATAGAGAGTATAGTGTCCAATTGAGGAAAATTTTGATAAAAATAAGGATTTTTGGGAGAGGAAGCTTTAGGAATATGCAGTAGACCTTTATGCTTACACTACAAATTGGATGTGGGATAATATGGAAGTCTAACACAGTTTATGTCAATTTGTTTTAGTACTGATGATGCCTTCTTGAAAAACCATCTCATAGAGTCTCTTTCTGGAAATAGTCGCCTAACACGAGACTACCTTTGGATGTGTCATGAATGAAGTGCTCTTCTTTTTGTTACTTCGCAGTGAAAAACTTCTGATTGTTTAGCTTATGTGTAATTGGCCTTGTAAAAATTACTTTGTTACTTGCATTTTCATTGAAAATGCAGATTTTCTGATGGACTGTTGGCTGAAGTTATATGTTCCTCTATGCTTTTAGCACATTGGAAAAGATATTTATATGACAAGGTCATTTTCATTGCAAGAAAATTAATGCTAGTCATTTGTACCATTTTCTGTTTGCAGCATCTAAGGTGAACCCTCTGCACCTTGATTACTATAAATTCTGTGGCAGAGTGATAGCATTAGCGTTGATGCACAAAATACAAGTGGGCATAGTCTTGGATCGTGCATTTGTCCTGCAATTAGCTGGAAAGGGTGTTTCATTAGAGGACATACAGGATGTAGACCCATACTTGTACAATAGCTGCAAGCAGATACTGGAGATGGATCCTGAGGTTGTGGATCAAGATGTTCTTGGTCTGACATTTGTTCAAGAAGTTGAAGAATTGGGCACCAGGAAGGTTATTGAGCTTTGTCCCGATGGGCAAAACATTGTTGTGAATAGCAAAAATAGGAAGAAGTATGTTGATTTTCTCATTGAGCATCGCTTTGTTACTTCAATTTCTGAGCCTGTAAGGAAATTTGGTGAAGGTTTTTCCAACATTATGAGTGGCTCAAGCATTCACATTCACAAATCCTTTTTCCAAAGCCTGGAGCCTGAAGATCTTAACTGGATGCTACGTGGGAGTGAAAATGCCATTTCTGTGGAAGACTGGATAGCACATACAGAATTGAATGGCTACAAAGATACTGATCCTCAGATATCCTGGTTCTGGAAGGTAGCACTTGTTTGATTCCTCTGTGTTATCTCCATTTTCTGATATTTAGAGGTATCCATTCTTGGTGCTTTTGCTTTTTTAATGCTAAGTGCACTCTTTTTTGTTACTTTACCCTTTTCTTTAGAGTGATAGTTACTGTCCAATATGCTTGTAGAAACAACGGTTGAATTTCCTGCTTGTAGTGGTCTTGGTGTCCCTAAATTGCTGCGAGATTTCATAGATGAAAGGAATTGTACCTCTGATGGTTATACGTGTCATTAGACCACTCTAAAGTTGTCATTAGCTGCTACATGGTAAAGGGAGCCTGTCTTATTTGTGTTATAACATTGGCTTCTGAAGTGAGTAGGAAGTGAAAGGTTTTAAGAATGTTTTTAGGATTTTATTCATTGTCTTGCCTCTTCTATTGTTGAATATCTAGATCATTAATTATTTGTTCAGCTATCATTTTGATGTATGAAGCAGTGACTTTTAAAACTCGCACAAATTTGCATTCATCTACTACTACATCCTAATTCCAGGTTGTGGGAAACTCTTTAATTTGGCTTGCTTGTATGTATTTGTGTGGACTGTGGTTTACTTCATGGAAATTCGGAGATGGTTCATATATTATTCTTTTCAGCTCATTGAAGTTTTTTTGGTTGTGCATCCATTTCAATGACTGAAGCTGTCATCAGGTGGCTTTCTTTTCCTCACACTGTTCACACATATTTCTTTATATATGAACAAGATGGCAGCCTTATTTATACTTGATTACCGTGTTACTTGCAAAGCAAGACCGTCGCCTTCCTGGTAAAATCTCCTGGAAAAGTGTTGTGTATTCCATGCTTTCACCAAGTTATAGAAACTGCACCAGCCAAGCATGGGTATGCAAACTTGGCTGGAATTAACTGGTGGGTGTGGGTTTGTTTTCATAGGGCACTATGGTGAGTCGCTGCCAGTCCAAGTAAATGTGTTATATGCAGATAGAGGTTTATGTTTCATAGACCTTGGAGGGTCAGGATAATAATGCAATGACAAATGTAGACTAATCTGCTTCATGTTACTTGTGGTACTCTAAATGTCAATTTCTTCTCAGCTTGTTGTGCTTGTGTTTACAGTAAGCTTATAAAGATGAACTTAAAGTTTTGGAATCAATTCTTGACTTATTAACATACGCTTAAAATGCAATTGTTACAGATTGTTGAACAAATGTCAGCTGAGCAGAAAAAGATTCTTCTCTTCTTTTGGACCTCAATAAAACATTTACCTATTGAGGGTTTTGGTGGTTTGGCTTCTAAATTATACATTTACAGGACTCTTGAACCTAATGATCGCCTGCCTTCCTCTCATACCTGCTTCTACCGATTATGTTTTCCACCATACCCTTCTATGCCCATTATGCAGGATCGGCTTTCTCTCATCACTCAAGAGCATGTTGGTTGCAGCTTTGGCACGTGGTGATAACTGGAAATGCTAGGACTTTGAACTGCACATAAAGATCTTTAGCCAGCCTGTACAGAATATAGAAATTCTTCTTTTTGTTCTCATCTCAAGGTTTGGAACTTTGGATGGAGGTGTTGTTCCAATTCTGTCTACTTCCAGAAAGGTTGTAATTTGGTGGTCTCCTCATCCATCAATTGTTTATATTGATATAGTAAACAATAAATAGTCAAGGCTGAAAGGATTAAACATCAACTGAATTTTTGGTTGGTCCTGTCTGAGCGTTATTATCCTTGTTTCTAGGCGTAGAGATCAAATCGTATTGTTTGCTATTTTCTTTGTTATTAGACTTGGGGATCAAATCGTCTAACAAATTGGGCAAATTGGGGTTTCTGACATTTAGAAATCAATGTTTTCGTATTGAGGAGCCTTTGGTTTGATAGCTAAGGTTGAGATTCTGGACTTGAAAAAAAAAAGTTCTGGGCTCAAATTCCTCTTTTCCCTCCTCATTTCTTAAATCCTACCTCTTTCTTGTTAAGGGGAAAAAAAATATAGTGTCTTTCTAAATCATTCATGTGCAGGGAACGCCTTGGACCTTTTCTCATTTGAGAGCCAATGAAAGCTTTCCGGCCGCCTCGAAGGTGCAGGGGCGTGTCGGAGGCTGGTCGTTTGATCTGTGTTCAGCTAGCTTTCCTGTGTCTAATTTTTTTTGTTTCAAAGAGACACTGTACATTTTGGGTGGTGCACATAGAGATGTATGCAGACCTTACATGTTTCTATTGTACCCGATTATCGAAGGCTCTCTCTTTCTCCTGATGCGGAAAGCGGACAAGTGTTGGCTGAGAAAACAATGCATGATTCAGAAGCCGATTGTTAATTTTACGTGGTGTTATTGAGATAGAGAGCAGCCATGAGTTCATGGCAAATGGCCATTCTTTAACAGCTTATCTCTATCAGCTGGATATGGAATGAAGCATGCCATTTTTAAGATACCAACTGTTTTGGCGTCCAGGAATGAATTGTTTTGTTGCTGCCCTTGAATTGTCCTCAACCATGTTGAAGTGAGGATTCATGTCAAAGGCGAGCAGGTAATGTAGTAGCGGTCGTAGGGGAGATGCGTGGACCTGAGGGAATTCCCATTCAATGCCCGAATTTTCTCTTTGCTCAGAAAAATCTAGGCAGGTGATCAAAGGATACGGTTTTGATGTCACATCCGTATGGAAATGCTATAGAAAGTGAGATGCGCATCTCACTTACAGTTCCGTTTGGAAATCTTCTATCATCTTCTTTGTGGATGATGGAAACCCCCCGAATTAATTGTCCAATTCAAGTTCCCATGTCCGACCATCTGTTCTCCAAACAAAAGGAGGAGCAGAGGAGAAGAAACGAAAAAAGAATACCTTTGAAGCATGCCATAAGGTAACAGGAAACTCTAGGTAGATGCAGAACCAGACCACGTGAGAATGATAAAACAAAAATCAACAATATGATATTCTTATTACTGGAAGCTAGAGATACATCCATCAAACCATGGTAGACAAAGTAAATCAAATTAACCCAATAACCACGACAATTTCTATCCCGTTCAATCCACTAGCATGACTGCCGATGACCATCACACTTGGAAGTTGCTCATTGCTGTCACGCAAGATCAGGTAGCCCTGCTGTGCCTGTATGGTGAGGTCAACCAAACCCCAGGGACAGTATAAGCTCTAGCTCTTGAAACCCATACTAAAAATAAGCCTCGCCTCATAGTCCCATAACCATAACAATAGTTAAACCAAATATAAGCAAAAAGCAAAACAAACTATTTAAACCAACTTTAGCATGCAAGCCTAGTAGAAAATCGAAGAGAAACCACCACATATTGCAGTATCTCAATTCAACCTACGCGTATTGGATGCCTTCTACTCTTCACTCTTCTCCACTGGAACATCAGTGCTCCCCTGCTCGACAACCGGAGCTGCTTGCTCTTCTTTGGCTGCAGGAGCTTCCTCAGCCGGAGCTGGAGCTACTTCTTCAGCAGCAGCAGCAGCAGCAGCAGCCGGGGCTGTTACTTCTTCAACAGGCTCGATCTTGGCTGCTTCTTCTGCTACTGGTGCTTCTTCTGCTGCTGGAGCTTCTTTGACTGCAGGAGTTTCTTCTGTTTTCTCTTCAACAGCAGGATCTTCAACTTTGGGCGGTTCCTCCTGCACAACTTCCTTGGTCTCAACTTCAACCGGTGCTTCTCTCTCGGCTTCAGGAACAGCAATTGATTCCTCAGCTGCAGCTGGGGCTTCTGTTGTTTTTTCGGCCGCTGGCTCAGGGTTTGCTGTCTCCACTGTTGTCTCTTCCTTGGGGGCCTCTAGGATGGTAGTTTCCACCTCGGTTGCAACTGGACCTGGAACTGATTCAACCTGAAAACAACAGAGACTCACTATGAGAATGATAGTAAATGGTTTTGCTTGATCGATCATGAGCATTTGGCTGGCCTGCAAGTAAAAAGCTTGCGAATTTATCGAGTTAGATAGTGGTGATATGATCCTTAGGCGCTATAGATTGTGATGGATCTTTGGATGATATTAATGGTCGGCTTTGGCTAGCCCAACCGACTGTACACCACTCCAATGGTATCAGGAAAATTTAGAACAGGCCCTCAATCTATTTTTTGCTGTATTATTTAGGTTACTAACTTCCATGCTTTTACCTATTTTAAGGCAAACTGCTATTTGATGAATCGATCACAAGTTGATCCGATCGTTTACATGTATGATTTGCTAGTACGTGTGTTCCAAAGTGTTAATGGTTTTTGAGAAGAAACAGGATGACACGGATCAAGAAATAAACTCTCCGTTTGAACCTGTAGAAGATCATAAACTTGATCATCAATACAAAATATAAATACTTCACCCTTTAAGTAGGAGTACTAGCAAAGTCTTAATTTATACACCCAATTAACATGGTTTCTTGAGCTAGCTTCGTCGGCTGTGTATTGAATTCTGATAACTTTCAACTTCAGAATTCAGATATACAACAACGCTCAACGAGACTATGAATACGAGAAAAGCTAAAGTGGAGGGAAAAAATACAAAAGAAAGAAAGAAAAATAAAAGTAATATTATGTACCTCAGCGGTAGCCATTGCTAATCAAAGAGAACTAGTGAACTATGGAATCAAAAAAGAAAAAGATAGAAGCGGGCCGGAAGCAAAAGGCAGAAGTAGAGAGTGAGTGAGGGAGTGAGCGAGCGAATGAGGAGGTGACGAGAAGAGAGGAATGTGAGAGGGTATTTATAGAGAAGTAAAAGAGTGGTGATTAATCATAAACAATGGTAGAGAGGAATGGGGGACATCACGCATCAAATCTGTGACAGGAAGGACACTAGGACGATGTCTAGTTGTAAATGTTTTTACTTTGCAGAGGATGAAATTAAACTATATATTGTGTTGATTGAGGATTTTGTGCATTATTAATTGTTTGATAATATAACTTTTTGTTGTGGATTGGCAATTCCACATGGTGGAGGCCATTTAACGTTGGCCATCATAGCTTTTCTTGAGTGGCTCATTCTGTGTTTTGTGCAGTAGGGCACGTAGGTGACTGGGACTATAATGCTTTCATGTTCGACTAAACTAAATCTGTGTTACTCGTCTGCCAAATGGTAATTATCTGATGTACTGTCAAATTGAGAGGGAGAAAGAATCTAAAAACTATATAATAAACAGAAGTCCCAAAAGAAAGAAAAAAAAAAAAAGAGGAAAGGCATAATGATTTTAAGCCATGCAGCATTGCATCTGCAGTAGCAAAGCCGAATGAGAACTTTGAATTATGTTGCCGCTCAAGTGCTTTTGAACAAATGTATTAGAATGCATGGCATGGCATTCTCTTCTGTTTTGATCAGTTTTCTCAACCCAAGAATTTGGCTTCGTAGCTCCTTTTCCCGGTTAACTAATACATCTGTTCCGAGCAGACATTTTTTTTTTGGTAAGATTATTGTTGACTTGAATGCATTTAGACTATTGGGAACTGACCACCCTAAAAAAAAACTTTCTTTTTAGTTCTAGTCAGGATCTTCATGCAAAACCCTGGTCGGATTTTATTCGTTGGACGGTATTTCTTCTTCTTCTTCTGCTTCTTCTTCTTCTTCTTTTCTTTGTCCAATTTTAGTAACTGAATTTTCTAGGGGCCATTCAAATCCAGACAGAGGGCCACGTCAAAAATAATAATATGCTTCTTCATGATCAACTGTCGCAGTCTGATAGAAAGAGTATCAAGAACTTGTGCAGCTAGAAAGAGAGTTTTTTCCAAACCCTCTAAAATACTATCAACTAGCTAAAACAGATTTCCTTATTGTTTACGGAGTAATCAATCATATATTAATAAAATACGTTGAATTCTTGATTAACTTGAGCAGCTAAATTAGGAGTGAAAGTAATAATTATCTACCCCATGTGTTGTTGGTACCAATTAATGCCATCTCTATCAGCAGCCAAAAAATAGGAAGGTGCAAAGCTTAAACCCATGCCATGAAATTTCGCTCGCTCTCGGCCTTGGGACTTTGATGCTGCCGCTGCGTGGACATCAGCCAAAATCCAAGCAGACGTCAATGGGGACAGTGACCCATTGTCACTGACGTGGATCGGTATATGTACCAACCTACGTGGACCCGCCAAAATTCATCAAACAGTGACGTGGCAAGTTGCAGCCAGAAGTAGCAGTGGAGAATTTGAATTCAATAACTCCCTAACTCTTCTTCGATTCTTTGCTTTAATTATTACTATTAGATCAAAACTTGTCACTTTTTGTTGGAATTATTATTATTCTTCTTAGAATTGAGATTTAAGGTCGTGTTTGGATTGTAATTTTCTAAAATTTTTGTAGAAAATATACTGTAACGATTTAATATGTGTGAAATAAAAAATATGTTCACGAAAAACGTACAAATTTTTCATTAAAAAATTCCTTTCCAAACAACAAACCCCTATTTGGTGCGGACACCGTGAAAAATAGGCTCGTTTGGATAAAACTTTTTATGCAAACACTCGAGGGGATGAATTTAAACCTTGATATAATGGGAAAATTACCCAAAGGAATTTAAAAAAAAAAAAAAAAAAACTGCGTACTTGCAGAACCAAACAAACAATAAAAAAAAACTTGAGAGCTTTGGAAACCGCCCTTTCTAAAAATGGGTCCCATCTGAATCCATCTTTCAGCGGCAACTGCTGGCTTTGCTTTCCAGATAGTACAACTCGTGAAGGGGGACCCACTTGCGTGCCGCCTGATTTGCCACGCTTGATCACACTCATCACCCCATTCGGCCATTCTACAATCTCTCTCATCAAATCATGCCACCCA